AGACGTTAGGTGATCATTTTGTTAGGTTTAGAAGTTGAGTGACGAAAACATTGATTTTAATAAAGTTAGGTGACCACCCATGAGAATCACCCATTTAAATATTTTTTTAGTCATTTTTTTTTCTTAAATAGTTATTTATAATATTTAACAATATAAATTAATTAATTAATTTTAATTTATTAAATAAAATTATTAATTATTTTTAAAAATAAATTTTGTAAAGATTGTAAATATTATTATTAATTTTTTCTTTATACTTTTCCTGATGTTTCCTACTCGAGGCTTCTCTATGAAGCCTTTCTCTCGTTTCCACCGTCTGCCCCTTTCCCTTTTGAAGTTGAAGAAATTGAGATTTTTTGGGGAAACTCTTTCCTCTTGAACGGGGCGACGCACTGATTCCACGTTTTGCAAGATTAGTCTGGTGAATCGTCGAGGGAAGATCGACTTCATGGAAAAAGTTTACTCAAAGCGTGCATCTATTTCCGTGATTCGGGGTTCTTTTGTGGTCCATTTAGATGAATTCCGCGTTGTGTCCACATTATTTCGAGAGTCCATGAATTTCTTCATCGTTCTTGTCTTGTTTTCTTCCTCTGCTTCTTGGACCCGAAATTAATTCTCGCGTGTGGAAAATGTTTTGTTTTGGCAGTACTGCCATTCCCTTTCCCTCCTTCGCCGGTCGAGTGGTTTGATGAAAGGAGAAGTCTTACCCTAATAAGTCGGAGAGGGAGCCATAATCAATGCCGAAGTTTTCGCCGCATCATCCAATGTCCAATCACCTTAACATTATTTGAGTAGTGGAATAGGAATTAAAAAATGATACTAGTAAAAGAAAAATAAAAATGATAGGCTTTGCTTTTTCTAAAAGAAAAAGAAAAAAAAAAACCTATACCTGTGGTAGAGAACAGTACAGCGTTGCAATTGGAAATTTCGTTACATAAGCCAATGTTCAATCATGCTGACGACGTCAGTGCTTTGTAACTGTTTGATCGGCTTCATTGGGCCTTCAAGTTCTATAGAACTTTCTTTTTTTTTTTAAATGGCGGAAAAAATCTAACACGTAGTGGCTAATGAAAACCATACCTGTGGTTTATCCAAAAAAAAAAGGGTGGGGGCGGGAACGGTGGGGGGGAACCACCCCTGTGGTTTTGTGTGGTAATTAAAACTATAGCTGTGGTGGGGGAACACTAAAGCATTGCAATTGGAAAATTTCTTTGGATAATCCAATGTTCAATCACGCTGACGTCAATGCTTCAGGATTAAGGTTTTTTCACTGCAAGAAAATTCATATTTAGGGATTAAATTATTAGTTTTTAAATTTTTATTTTTTGTCACAAACTAAAATTAATGATAAAATTTAAATCAATAGTAAAATTTTTGTCATTAATACTCTTAATGACAAATTTGACATTTTTCATAGAAGAGAATTTTATAATGATAAAAAAATTTACATTATTAATGAGTTATTTGTAACAAATTTAATCATCACAAAAAAATTTTTTTATTACAATAATTTTCATCACAAAATGTTACAATTGAGTGATAAAAAAAATAGTCACAAATGTAATTATGATGAAAAATTTAGTCATTAATTATTAAAATTTATATTAAATAAAAAATATTTATATAATTACAACACAAATATTGTAACAAAAGTTTTATCACAAAAAATTAATATATAAATTTATCACAAAAATTTAATAAAAAATATTATTATTTCAATACTAATCAATTTTGACTAAAATTAATCAAATCTGATTAAAATTAATCAGCACAAATTAATCTCAAGTTTTATTGAGCTTCATATGTTTTATAGTGCAAAAATTTATTTTTTTAAATATTTCTCATCAATATGAGATATATTTATAGTGCAAAACCTTATTCTCTTATGTGTTTTTTTATCGATATGAGATGCATTTATTAAAGAAAATTAATAATTTTTAGTGATGAAATATATTTTTAGTGATGAATTATTTGGTCATTATTGAATGTGTAAGTTATATGTGACCAATATTAGAATTCTGTCATAATTGTAATGAATCATAGTGACGATTTTTATTAACAAAAACCTATTTTATTTCTATGAACATTTTTTAGTGATAAAATATATTTTTTATGATGATTTTTTTTTCATCATTAAATATGTATGCATCTATCACAATTATGATAAGTTATAATGATAATTTTAAAATTCATAACAAATTTTTATAATTAAAAATCATTTTTATTGTAGTGATCATCTGTCATCCATGAAATGCTTCCTCTTATTTATATGACTTCCATGACTTCCATGATTTCACAAAACGGATGATCAAGCTTCTTCTTTCACAATGTCTTTTCCCCCCTCGGGTGCATTCGCTCCTTCCCCATTAGCGCGCCCTCCCCCAGCGCGTACGATCACCCCTTCCCCATTAGCGCCCCCTCCCCCATCGGGTACGATCACCCCTTCCCCATTAGCGCCCCGTTCCCCATTGGGTGCGGCCCCTTCCCCATTTATTGCGTTCGCCCCTAACATTAGTCCTGGCTATTCTTCCCATTCTGACCAGGGTAATATCGGACGGTTGGTTGGAATAATAGTGGCCGGTAAGTTTTTGCATCAATTGAACTGTGACGAATTTAGAATTATCGTGTCCAAATTGATAATAATGGCATTTAGTTTTGATGCAGCGATATGTGGGACCTTGCTGACATTTGGGATCTTCTTTGCAATCCGTCGTCGTTGTCGGCGTCCTGGTCGTCAAAGGGGATTAGATGTTGATGCATCCCCGCCGATTAATAAAAAAAAAGTTGATGCACCCCCCATGGAGAAGTTCCTGCAAGAGATGGCGAAGGAGAAGCCGGTGGGATTCACTGCCCAGCAGCTCCGTGCATTCACGGGTAATTACTCGACCAGGTTGGGGTCTGGGGGTTTTGGAGTGGTCTATAAAGGGCAGTTTTCGGATGGAGTCAAGATTGCAGTTAAGGTACTTGAGAAAAGTTCTGAGAAAACGGCAGAGAAGCAGTTCATGGCGGAGGTAGGCACGATTGGGAGAACATACCATATTAATTTGGTTAGACTTTATGGTTTTTGCTATGATAAAAAAATGAGTGCGCTTGTATATGAATTCATGGAAAATGGATCACTTGATAAATACTTGTTTGGGGAAAGGGATACAATTGAGTGGGAAAAATTACATGAAATCGCAATAGGAACAGCCAAGGGTATTGCTTATTTGCATGAAGAATGTCAACAAAGAATCATACACTATGATATAAAGCCTGCAAACATACTCCTTGATGCAAACTTTTTGCCTAAAGTTGCTGATTTTGGTCTCGCAAAGCTCTACAATAGGGATCTTTCTCATGTGTCAAATACTGAGTATCGAGGAACTCCAGGTTACTCTGCTCCAGAATGCTTTATGAAGAATCTTCCTACAACATACAAGTGTGATGTGTATAGTTTTGGAATGGTGTTGTTTGAGATTGTTGGGAGGAGAAAAAACACCATTATGAGTTCACCTGAAAGCCTTGATTGGTTTCCTAAACATGTATGGGAAAATTACGAGAAAGGTGAATTGATTGAAATGACAAAGACTTGTGGGATTGAAGAAAAGTATAGTGAAAATGCAGAGAGAATGTCCATGGTAGCATTATGGTGTGTTCAAGACTCACCCGAGGTGAGGCCACCAATGAGTGTAGTAGTGAAAATGCTAGAAGGAGGAGTGGACATCATGCCACCTCCTAAACCCTTTCAGTATCTATACTCAATGGAAATGAATTTGCTCAACCCACGTACAACTACAACCAATTCCAGTTTCTCCTCAAATGAAGAATGTAATTATTATTGGTATAAAGAGACCACACCTGTCATGACCAAGTATGAAATACAAATAGCTAGTTGTTAACTATACTAAAATCTAAATTTCAACAAGTAAATGTACATTTTGTTATGATATTGTTTTTATATAAAGTTTCTTACATTTCATTTACCAGAATCTTGATGTTCATGTTGAGAGAAGGGTTTGTGCTTAAATCCT